ACAGCAGGTAAAAATTAGTAGTGATAAGATATCAAGTTTTCAGGGAAGATTGTCTACTATTACTGATCTTTTCAATGAGAAACCCCTGATAAGTTCAGTAGGAAACTTTGTGGTTCTTGAGAAGTTTGTGTGAAAAACATTGCTAGATCAAAATCTGCCAAAATGACACTCTGCTATTTCTCTGATAGTTTTAAATTTTTCTGTTTCATTCACTTTTATCTTAGATTTCATGGCCTTTATAGTGTGGTTTGTTGCATTCAGGGTTCTGAGTCTTGTTTCTGTGGTCTTTTATTTTTGCATCTCATTTTTTGTTAACTGTTTGAAGAATTTATCTGCCATCCAATGAGACTTTTCCTTCTTTCTAGCTAGAGACAGTGTCTTTTGCGTTCTTCCATGACAATGTTTCCGGTTTTGTTCCAGAGCTTTTCTGGTTTCTAATCAATTAGGCTCACTAGTGCAAATCTATTATTTAAAAGGTCTTTAAATTCTTCAGGGGTGTTCTTCAAGTTGTCTTTTGGCACAAGAATTGATTTAGTGTATTTTAGAATATTTCTTTAGCTTTAGTCTAATTTTAGTATTAGTAATTCATGGTCTGTGCCACAGTCAAATCCTGGTCTTGTTTTGGCAGAATGAATGGAGCTTTTCTGTCTTATGCTTCCAATGATATAATTCATTTCTGTATTAGTCATCTGGTGACATGCACATATACAGTTGTCTCTTTGATTGCCTGAACAATGTATTTGCAATGAACAAACTGGTGGCCTCACAAAATTTGATCAGTCCCTCTCCTCCTTCATTTCTAAATTCTGCTACAATGTTTGTTTCTGCTCTGTTTCCTATTTTTACATTCCAATCACCTATGGTTACCAACATGTCCTATTGTGATATATGATCAATTTTCTTCTGAACACCTTTATAGAATTTTTCACTTTCTTCTTGATCTCACTCTGAGATGAGGGCATAAACTTGGATCACAGTTATACTAATAGCTTTTCCCTGTAGTCTCTTTGCTATTATTTGGTCAGACTTTGCATTGTATCCCCTGGCTACTTTTACTACATCTCTTTTGCTACATCTCTCACTATTAATGCCACCCCATTTCTTTGATTTTTCATTTCCAGAGTAAAACTCTTTTAATCAGTGTCCCATTCCTGTCTACTTCAGCTTGCTCACACCAAATATGTCTATGTCTATACGTTCCATTGTTTGTTTTATCATTTCCAACTTTCCTTGATTCATGCTTCTCACATTTCACATTCCTACTACATACATTGCACAACTTCGGATTTTTATTTCACCTCTGAGTGTGTCAGCAGCTGAATGACCTTTTGACTTGAGTCCAGTTGTGTCATTAAAGTATTCATACTTGTCCTCTGCCCTTCCCCAGTAGCTGTTTGAGTGTCATCTGGCACTGTTTCTTATTTAATTTTGGATTGTCTCATCACAGGCTTTTCAACGTAAAAGTCTTCAAGAGTGGTTTACTATTGCCACCTTCTGCACATTAGTAGCTCCATTAGAGTTAGCTGTAGTGCAACTGCCTTTGTCGCAGAGATATTCTTTGTTGGTGTCTCTCTCATATATACCAACTACTTCTGTAGCCCAGTAGCTGCTTGGCACATTTAGCCTGGCTCCTGAGCAAAGCCTGTACAATGCGAGAGGCCCTACCAACAGCAATGCTACCAGCAACATAGCCTCCTGCTTAACAGGAGCACACAGTCCCATCACTAGAAATTTAGTGCCCAAATGGGGTCATACCTCTCACATGTCATTATATGGGGCATATAATGGTCATACTTATTCCATATCATGTATATTATATATACCTGCCATCTGATAAAGTGGATTCTAGTCCAAAGAAGCTGATCCCTCCTGAAATTTGTTAGTGTTTTAAGGTGTCCCAAACCTCAGGCCTTTAAGATTAGGATTTGGGTGCTGGTGCAAGATTTCATAAATTTCTATCATAAGCATTACTTAAATTCCTATTATATAGTATTAATATTAATTTGTGTGTTGCATGTACTTTGTCCTATTGATGTCCACCATCTTGGAGCTTATAAGTTGTATATAAATGTAAATAAAGAAAATATCATATCATTACCATATTGATTGCCATCATTTTGTTCACCTGTTCATCTTTGCACTAGATTTTGGTACTCACAAGTAGACTGGTGGAAATATATAACTGTAATAGTACCAATTCAATTCGAAAGTAGTTCTCGTATTACTGAGAGATAACATCTGTCATAGAGAGGGTTGGTTTCTGTTGTGTATCAATAGCACATTGTCAATTTGCTTCAATACAAAAATGAGAGAAAGGAGATTTCTGTGTTCTTGGATACACAACGAAGGACCAGAGGTTGTTAATTCACCAATGTACTATAATCTAGAAATAGTATTCCTTTTATTTTAACCTTGCTGAATATTTTGGCTTAGAGACAAAGATGACTTTGAATGGTAATGAGAAAGAGTGGAGATACTTGCAAAGGAGAGTAGTCCTTTCAGTACCCCCCCATTTCTCTGGTATTTGTCTGCTTCAAGTCACCTGTCAACTTATGGAGACCCCATGAATTTCATAGGGTGTTCTTAGGCAAGGAATACTCAGAGGTGGTTTGGCCAGTTATTTCTTCTGAAATACAGCGTACAGCACCTGGTATTTGTTGGCTCGTTCCCATCCAAGTATCATAGCTGACCCTGTATATCAGTGGTTCTTAAACTTTTTCCCTTTGTGACCCCATTTAAATCTACATGCGGACATTGCATCCCCCCACTCAACATAGTATATAAATAAAAATATATTGTTTGTTTAGTGTGCACATTTTCATTCACATATTCATGTATATTCATGAATATACATGAATATATTAATTCAGCAATATCTCATTCTAAAGACCAGGGCAGTGATGGGATGGATGAGGGGAGAAGAAGTGGTGACTTGGCATAGACCCCACCAGAGGCCAGGATCCAGCTCCTCCTCTGAGACAACTGCTCCAAGCACTATCCTCACTTTTCTCTTCCCCTCCAGGACAGAATAAGTTTGGGAAATGGAGGATGAGAGGGGAATTAGGACTCACACCCCCTTGAGCAATTCTCACTGCCCCCCAGGGTTCCCACCCCCAGTTGTATAACTTTCAAGATTGGAGGGGATGTGGTGCCTTTATTTAGGTTCTAGTTTATTCCCCCCCCCCCTCAAACCAGTGTCTCTTAATTTTCAAACCCAGCTCAAGAAAACTGCTTGGATAAGCATTTGCAAAAAGTCAGAATTCATATGGAGAGTTAAATAAGCCCAGTGAATCTTCCCTTGCCTCACATTCCTTGTTGTGTCTCCAAATGTGTAGTTGGGATAACACATTTGCTGCTGTTTGGCCCTACATTGCTTTTTACAGTTTTATTTGGAAATACTGTCAATCCTCTCCATCAGAGGTAACAGCACTACTGCTTCTTATATGAATGAGGGGCTTTGTGCCTCTGCTTTTTCAGGATCATAGCTTAATATCCTGGCTGGTTCAAGGACCTGGTTATTGTGTCACTTCAGGATAAGGCAGGCTGTCAGTTTTAGGAGGTGGTGTGAGTTTATCTGTTTTTTTCCATCTTCTCTGTGCATTGTATTCCTCAGCTAGCAGGCACTCTGGGTCCTATTGAATCAGACATATGGGCTTGTCATTCTTATGCTTAGCTAACATTGATCTTTCTGCATTGTTAATGGAGACCATGCATCTTTGCTCACCATTCTGTCTCCTTTCTCTAACTGGTTTGATCCATGCAATCCATAGCCAGCATAAAGGGACGAGCTGTAGTTAGTATTCTGCATGATTTTTCATCACAGGGATAAGGCCTCATTGCTTTGTTTACTCACCCTGGGCAAGCTCTGTTATTTTGTATTCCTTGCTCTCAGATCAAATGTAAAGATATGTTTGCTGTTGACCTCATTTTAAAAGCCCTCTAGAGGAGGAAACCAAAAAGGTTGATATAAGCTGGCACAGTTATTCATTATGAATGTTGAAGTGTGATGCCTTTATTTTCATTAATTTTACATGGAAAATCAGTTGCAATGCAACATTCTTTCCTTGTTTCTAGAGACCTTTGTGTTATGTGTGCAGAGCAGTAGATGGAAAGAAAAATGCAAAGGCACAGTATTTCCCACCCCTCCTCATCATCAAGTGAGCATGATCAAAGAGGACTGATTTTAGTTTGTGTTAAGAGATGCCACTTTGTCTAGAGTTTCGCCAGAGAGACAAGTAGCTCGATATGGATCGTAAATTCTAGGTATACTGAAAAACAGTTCTAGCTTGTCCGTTGCCAAATGAAGTTTAAGAACTATGCAGATGGAAAATGCCAAATCATTTTGAAGAACTGAGTGGAGCCTTTGACCATCTTCATCAAGATTCCAAATAATAAGAAAGACAAAGGGGAAGCTGTTTGTGTTTTTGGTTTGGCTTCATGTAAGCTATGAGGTATGTCTATGTGTTTTTCAATGGTAGTGAGTCAGTATGTAAGATCTCTTACACTTTCAGACATTTACACTGACTCTGCACACTAGTCCTCTGGTAGAAATTGTCTGGAACTAGGACCTGTGTGAGAAATACAGGTAGGAGATTTGAACTTTGCTCCCATATGAGCCTCCTTGATCATTAACAAACTTTCCAACTGTTCCAGTTTGGCAGAGACAGTCCCAACTAATTCTCTGTTGTCCCACTTTTTCAGCTATTTTAAACATGTCCAGGTTTCTTTTTCCTCCCATTTTCCTCCTTCATTGTGAGCTTACTTCATTTGCTGCAAGCTGAAAGTACAAAAGTAGCTTGTGCCCATTTAACTCAGCAGAAGGGAGAGGAGAATAGGGATGGAGCCTTGTCCTTCCCAGATCAAGTCATTTCTGACTTATGGCAATCCTAAGGTGAACCTATCACAGCAGTTTCTTGGCAAGGTTTACTCAGAGGGGGTTGTCTTTGTCTTCCTCTGAGGCTGAGAGTATGATTTTTCCAAGGTTAACCAGTGGGTTTCCATGGCTGAATGGGGATTTGAACCCTGATCTCCAGAGTTGTAGTCCAGTGCTCTAACCACTACACTATGATGGTTCTTACTGCCCTTCGTAGTAGGCTCAGGCCAAAGCAAACCATGTCAGCCTCTCCTAATTGTGTGTTATTTCTCATTAATACTTTAACACTATTAACCTTACTCTGATGTTGCTTGGCCACATGTATCCCACTTTCATTTGTGAAATGTCGGATGGCATGCATTAAAACCCAGTTGGCTGGCCCTGCTGAGAGTCCCATGCCAGTGTAAAAGCCAATCTGCTAATGCTTGAAAGAAAGACTTTTGTATTGTCGATCTTCAGTTTTCAAATGGGTTGCCTAGAGAGATCCACACAGGCATTGTATATGTGTTTAAGTTTTAGGATCTTAATAAAAGCTTTCCAATTCCATCACATTATTGATAAGAATTTGAAAATAAGGTTCTGACTATTGTTCCTTTGATTATCTTGTGCATGATTTTTACTGTGTTGATGCACTGGTTAGGTTTTTATTTGCATTTTACATTTGCGGACTGTTTGTTGGGCATTTTTAAGACAAAAAAAGTTGTCTGGACATGTTTTGAAAATTGTAATTATTTAACCTAGACCCACTGGAATTCTTAGGAAGGAGTCAGCAAAATACTAGTTTTGCATCTCTCCCAATGCTGCTATCTTGCTGGAGGGGATTAGGATTGTGACATTTCTTCCTAATAATTGTTTAGGTATATTAGTATTGATATTTTCTATCCTAAATAATCCTTATTCAGAGAAATCACACATGATGTATTTCTTAAATCTTAATTTAGCTGTAGGCTTGGGCAAGTCACACACTCTCAGCCTCAGGGGAAGGCAATGGCAAACCTCCTCTGAACAAATCTTGCCAAGAAAACCTTAGGGTTGCCATTAGTTGCCTTAGGGTTGCCATAAATTGAAAACAACTTGAAGGCATAGAACAAAAGCATGTAGGCAGTAGTTTCTTATCTTCCCTACACGTTTTCATTTCTTCTTTGTTAGGCATTACTGCTGTAGGTAAATTATATTTTCACTGAAGGACTTTGAAATGAGAGAAAAGAGAAAACATAAGAGACTAGGGAGCATTTCTTTTCATTCTTCAGAAATCTCTTCAACCCTTCTGAAGTGAACTTTGAGTCTACTCTTTATCCTTCCAACTTAATCCAGCTCAAACTAAGATTAGTGATAATGGCTTCTTCTTTCTCTATAAAAGTGGGAATTTAAGATAGATGGCCATGTGAATAGACCCAACTGGGAATCCTACTCTCTCCTTCTTCCAAATTGATACATGTACCTGATAGTCTCTTGACTGCCTGGGCTCTTGCCATCTGTTGGATGGCATACAGCCATCCCAATTCCTCAGCTTTCTATTGCTCTAATGTTTAGAATGTCCCTGAGACCATTTGGTGAAGACAAGTTGGATTTTTAGAGCAGATAATGTAGAGAAAACAGAAGGGAATGTAAAATTATCTTCTATAACTTGTATGCTTAGTAGAGAACTGAAGACATTCCAAGTGTTTGCTTAAAGATGAGGTCACTTATTCTTGTTTGTAGTTTGACTTTTCTCATGTTCTCGCTGCTCAATGTGTGATTCTATCTATAGTATTCAATATGATACCAAGCCCTTAGCTTTTCCATAAGACAACAAATAATGTGACAGTATGTTCTGTGTTGAGCACTAATGTATATAAAAGTCCAATTTATATGGAGAAATTTGCATGAAGAAGCCTGTTTTATCAGGCTTGACAATGCTGTGCCATAGATGGTTTCTTAATATAGCATCTAGATTAAATCTTTTTGGGTTTCATCAACAAAATCTGTCTGTACAATATGCTTCAGTTGCTCATGGGTTATTGCTTTTTGGCTATAGAAAAGGTTTTAAAGGGGCTTTCTGGTTTTGGGCTGGTTAATGTTTATTAAACTTTTCAGCCATATTTCCAGTCTTTGTCTTTTAACAAATAATCCTTAGAGCTTTTGCCTATTTGCATCTAGAAAATGCTAGATAATAATAACAGTTTTAGAAACTCAGTGAAGATCTTGCTCTTAAACTCTAGCTTTTCCTTTGATCCTTCACCTGACACTCAAGGAGTAGTCCATTACTCTATATTCATACTCTGAAGTTCCATACAACTTTATGTGCGCAAGTGGGTCAGCAAATGTGTAAAAACATTTTGACAATGAGAATGCCTTGTAAATCTGTTTGTCTGTGTTATACTGATGAGTAGTTACATAGGCAGAGGAGAGACACAGTTTATCTGCATAATTAAGGGGTGTCCGATAACCAAGGTCTGTTGAAGGTTCATCTGCTATAAAGGTTATATAATGAGAAAGGTCCCATGATATTTGGGCTTAAATGGATATGATCAGTAAATTAATTATTTAAAAGTATGTTAAAATCTCCTGTTTTCCCAAGCCAGAGATGCTTTTATTTAGTACTCCCCTAGAGAATCCTAGAGGAACCTACAGCGAAGACTGAAAGGACAGCAGGTTTATATATGTGGCTACTTTTGCTAAATTTTGTGTCATTGGCTTGATTGGTGTATATATATATATATATATATATATATATATATATATATATATATATATATATATATATATATATATATATATATATATATTATTACCATGGGTTCAAAAATAAAAATAAAAAGAGTAGTTTTGGAACATCAGCTCTTTTGAAATGTGGTGCTGGAGAATCGTTCTGCGAATGCCATTGACTGCTAAGAAGACAAATGAATTGGGCAAATCAGGCCTGAACTCTCTCTAGAAGCAAAGATGACTAAACTGAGGTTGTCATACTTTGGCCATATTGTGAGAAGAAAGGACTCTCTAGAAAAGGCAATAATGCTTCTTAAATTGGAGGAAAGGAGGAAGATTGTTTATCAGATGTATAGATTCAATCAGAGAAGCAATGGCAGTGAAACTGCAAGACCTGAGCAGGGCAACTGAGAATAGGGCAACTTGGATGTCTCTCATCCATAGGGGTGCCAAAAGTCACAGTTGACTTGAAGGCAATTAACGGCCACAAGAACAATAGCAAGTCTTGTATGGGAAATCATTTTGTATATATTTTCCCTCAGATAGTGAGAGTAGTGTTTTCCACATAAGGTTAAACCACTGAAAATCAGAGTTCACCTTGCCATGGTAAACAGTTGCTAATTCTAACCCAATGAGTTTGCGTGCAGACCAAAAAATTAAAAATTAAAAATTAAAAATGCACAATCTAAGAACACCTCATAGAAACTAAACATTGGCTACTTCCAAAAATAGTGGGAGAATCATGCTGAAATTTTTGAGATGAAGCTGAGGGGCACAATGCAGTCATTTGTCAAGGTGATGTATTCTACCTGTCTGCCTTTGAAAGGGAAGTAGCATATATGCTTTCCTTGGAGATGGGGGCATGTGAGTAGCCATCACACAGGAGGTGTATCCATTATACTAACATTTGAACAGTATTGTTGCTTCTGCTTTTGCAACATATTTGCACCCAGGTACCGCTTGTACATACAAGTCAGCCTTGGCTTTCAACAAAATCCTTAGATCTCTAGCAAGAAGTGATGCACAGCTTACAGCTTTTTCCGGCCATCTTCTGCTGCTGTTACAGGATGACTGTTCTTGTTGATCAAAGACAATTGTTAATGTCTTGAGGAGGAGGATGTTTGAAATCTGGGTCTTATAGGCTCAAATCCTTATTTTTCAAGCATTCCTATCAAGTGAGATTTAATAGAAACATTGTACTGCAGTGTATGCATTCTGAGAATAGGAGACACTAAGTATTTCTTTTGAATCCTATCATTAATATACAAGCTGCTTATTGAGGGATTTTCTTTTCTCTCTCTCCTCGCCCCCCTACATTTGATAAAATTGACTGAGTAAGTAACTAAATGATCATGGAGTGGGTTTTTGTTCTGTTTTAAGCAAACAGTTAAGAATTCAGAGAAGCTCAGTCACTGGGACATCTCTGCAGGTTGAATAAGAATGTATCCCCTCTGCTAGGCCCCCTTTTTAAATGGTTGCACAAAAGAATGGTTTAGTTTCAGTGAATTGCCTGCTACTTTGTGAAAATCATATATAAATAAGTCCAATCAGTCAATATCCATGAGGCTGCAAAAGTTTTTTTTTTTCATCATTAAGGATAGATCCGAAGATATATTTTAGCAAAAAAAGGAGGGGAGTCTTAAGTGCTGTTGTCTGACACTATGAACTCCAATCAATGTGTCAGTATTTTGGAATTTGAAAGGAAATGGGGATCAGAGCTGACAATCCAGAGCTGAAATTTGATGCCCTGGTCTTTGTGATAAACTGACAGGCAGTGAAAATTGCACACGTCTTTGGGGAATCAGGAGAAAAAGAGTTTTGTAGGAAATCTGCTTATGATTCACAAAGGAATATGCTTTATAAAAATGAGTTTCTATTGCATTCTTTGGCAGGTTGTTTTCTTTCAAATGTGGAGCTTTTTGCACACTGCACATTTCACACACATGTGTGTGATAGCATAATTTTTTACAAGTCTTGGTTTTGCTTATCTCTTCTTGAAATTTCATTCTCAACTTGTATGGAAGAATGACATGAATGGGATTTAGGAACTTCACAGATAAAACAAGGAAAGGAACCAAGTGAGGCACAGTTTAGAAGCAATTAAGTACAAACAATGAATTACTTGTAATGAGTTCTTTTTCCTGAAAAATAGAATATAACTACTGTACATCACTTTACAACTGTAACTTAACTAATTCCACTGCTTTTGTTGTATAACTAAAGTGATGACTTAATTGTTTTGGGGCATCATTAACTTATTGCTTTAAAAAATAACTTTCCAAGTGGAAGTTAGGGAGAACATGGGACAATTTAGAGGATCAAGGAAATTGTGGCAAAGTTTTTCTTGGATCATATGACCTCCAGCAGCTGGAGAACAGTTCAGTTAGTCATCTCTGACGTGCATTGTCAGCCAATACTAAAAGATCATGCTCACATGCCAGTAACAGTATGGAAAAGACACCACACAGCCACTCATTGGAGCATTTTCCCATGCATTGCAAAAGCTATAAC